AGCCATTGGCCCAAAGCCCCCTTATTTTCAACAAAAGCCTTAAACAAAAGCTGTATAAACTTCTAGCTTACTATCACTTTCATGATACTATAATTAATTTGCTATTTCCTACCTCTTTTTTAGAAGTTGAAAGCTCAGCCAAAATATGTTTGGAAGATGAACAAAAGAGTTTGGTTTGCCAAGAGGCACAAACTTTTGGGGCAAAGAGTGAACCATCACTTTCTGGTCTTTCTCCTAAAAAACATTTCCTTCTCATTGCTATAGGTCTCACTCACACTACTTTCCTGCCTCTTTCTGTCTTGGTAGAGACTGAGTTTGCAGATTCTGATACTAATATATTATAGCAGGCTGGAAAGGAGGATGCTGATGGAGTTATGTCTGTCAGTGAGATCTTGTGAAAGTGCCTCTTCTAGTTCTGTTTATCTAAATTTTTAAGGGGTATTCCATGAACAAGATGATAAATATACCTTACATAAAGTGATATTTTTCTATTAAAAATCTGTGATGCCTTTCATAGTTTGTACGCCACAGCAAACTAGAGGTCAGAAACATATTGACAGTCTAACTTTGGTGTGTTGTTTTGTTTTTAAATCAGCTCCCTTTCTGGGGAACCTCTGAGTTAGACCAAGTTCTGCATGAAATTCAGTTGCTAGCAGGTGGAAACGAGAAAGACATGGACTTGTTTTTGTGTGTGGCAGTGAACAGCACAGCGATGTGGTGGAACAGTAAGTGACACCTCACTGCTTGCAGTCTGGTCATTACTGCTCCTCTTCTCAAAGCGATGAAGTAGGAGAGGTGCATTTCACTCCCGTGTTCCTAATTCAAGGTGGGATGCTGTGGGAGCATGATATTGTAGTGTCCTGCAGCAGCTTAGGCTGGCCAGTTAAGGAAAATCATTAGTGAGGGAGTTGAAAGGCATGGCCTTGGAAAGGGGAATTGGATGAGATATGGGTGAGCAAGGGATGCCTTTGCTTTCAGGAGTGTTGGAGCCATCTGTATGGCAAAGGAAGGAGGCGAGGGGACTTTTCCCTGGGCTGCATCTCTGGGCTGACTTCATGGCAGTGTCTCTCTAGAGTAGCTAACTCCAGTTGACTAAGAGCTTTGTTTCTTGGCTTTCTTGGGCTTCCACCAACTAAACCAGAGAAATTACAAGACTGGGTCTTGCTGAGGAACAAAAAGCTGCTAGTGAAATGATTTAAGTACATATGATGCAGTTAGGCTGTATCAGGTGTGAGGGAAGAAGGTATCAAGGGTCAGTTCCTAACGAGAAGTGCATGCTCTAGTGTTGGAGATGACTTGAGAGCTGAATTCCTTTCCTAAGGGAAGGAAAGGGTGTGTTTCTGAACCCTGTTAGCTGAAAGGAGGGTACGGTTGCAGGGAGACTCCCTGCATTGAATCAAGTTTGTGTTCTGTCTCTTCAACTGCAAAGCTAAAGACATGTCCCTTCCAATCCTCTGTGTGTGTGTGTGTTTGTGTGAGATGACTCTCAGGGGACGTTAATGTTGCGGTTACCATGGGAGCCAATTCAAAGTGGATTGTCATGCCATCAGAACTAAAAGATATATGTAAATTCTGTGGTAGCGTTTTGCAGAGGTTTGGGAATATTTCTTACAAGAAAAGTACTTCTGTTATTTACATAGGGATATTACACCTGTGTGTTAACCATTTCTTAAAATCAACCTGGCTCTGTGATAGATAGAAGAGACAGACAGTCAGACAGCTCAAAGTGAGTACAGGTTGAAGAATTCTAACTCAGGATACAAATTTCCCCATGGAATTATTCTGTTTGCTTGTAGTGTTTTTGAGTGTACCTCGATCCCATTTTTATAGTGCATTCATCAGAATCCAAGAAGAGTCTTTTTTCCTTGCATATTTATATCTTCATCCTTTTCGCTGCCCTGTTTGTGTTGGCTGACACTTTCACCTACCTCAGTCCTCGAGAAAGTCCTCAGCCAAGACTTGGAGATGCTCATTCTAGAGAAGACCACTGTGGTAAGAGCAACATGCTACGTACCTTGGACTTGTTTTTTCATCCGTGGAAATCAAATGGTTATTCATGCTGGACCCCTACAGTTTAAAACATCTGCTTGTCACCAGAACTTGTTCAGTGACTTTGGACTTAACAGCTTGGGGGCTGAGCTCTGGACCTTCAGGATCTCTAGGTTCCTGTGCTGACAGTGCTTCTAGCACTCACAGCATCTCAGTCCACCAGCACAGCAGAGATGGCAGATGTGCTTCTCTGGAAACTTCTTTGTGTGAAGTTATATCAAATCTCTAAATTTTAATTGCTAATTTATTTTAGAAAGAACAGTTTGTCTCTGACCTACATATGGGACTCAAATGTGACTTTCTGGCTCTTGTAAGACTTTTTATTGTTGAAAATCTGAAATAGTATTAAGACTATGGGGATGCTGTTGTCTCTTTTCTTGCAGCTTTTATTTTCTGCTGCTAGTGTGGACTCTAATTCTTCATGGAGAAGAAAGCTACATCAACAGGTGGAGAGTTTGGAACTCTTTTATTGGTTGCTGTTTGTAGGTCCCCTGGGGAATTATAGGAGAACTCTTTTTGAGCAGAACTGATTGGTTTGTTTTTAATGCCATCTCTGTAGAATTCTTTTTTTAATTGTTCTTGGTTTTTTTTTTTTCTATTTCTCAGTACAGAAAAAATTCTGGTCTGTGAACAAGAATTCTTATTATTACGGGCTGTAGATTTTGATGACTTGTCAAAACACAATAACAAAACCCTGAACCACCTCTGGAGACCATTCTTTTCCAATGCAAAAGTTCTGCATTGGAAAATCTAATTCTTTGTTCTAGTGTTATTGGAATTGTTTAATCTGGTTTTGCTCATTTATTAGGAGGAAGTGCTTTCTGTCCGTCAAGCACACAAGCTATGAAGGAAACTTTACTGTATCATTCCCATGACATATGGCATTTTCCTAATAACATTACTATTCAGGCAATTTCATTCAGATTTTATCAAATATTCTAGGCAGGCCTGTTTCAGGAACAGGATGTAATGATAAAGATGTGCACAGCTGAGGAAGCCAAATTAGTGTGAGGAGTATTGCTAAGGAACTGGAAGGCATTGTTCTAGTTCAAGGAGAGTATAAGCTTTTGGTGCAGGTGACATGAAAATGAGGGAGCCTGCAAAACAGAGAGGAAGCAAAGGCTGATATGCTGTGTTGGGTAATAAACTGATAGTTCCTCTTATTCAGGGATTCCAAATTCACTTTTCAAGCATCAATGAATGATTTGGTTGTACAGTCATGGTGTACTTCATCACCAGTACGTGTTGTAAAACCTTTGATTGTGGGACAGTGTTTGAGTGGTTGATGCCCAGGGAAGTACTTGAGTCACCATCCCTGGAAGTATTTTAAAAACATGTAGACATGGCAGTGCTGGGTTAATGGTTGGGCTTGATGATCTTAGAGATCTTTTCCAGTCTAAATGGTTCCATGATTTGGCTTTTGGTTCAGTAGAACATTTGGTTCAGTAGAACATTGTTCCAAAGGGATAAAGCCATTCTTTGCAGAAGAGACTGTTAATGGAAGGGAGAGGAGGATATTGGTCCTAGTCTGTGAACTTTTGTTAAGCATAATGTATCTGAGCACCTTTCATTCAGGACATATGCTTTCAGCTTCCTGTAGAAGCTGTTTGCTCCTGTTTAAAAGTTGTACTCTCAAAACAATGCATACTGCTGTGCATATGATTCTCCCTCAGGGAGGAGAGAGAATAAACTGAGCATCAGATATGAGCTGCAGCACTTAGTGCACTGCTGGGAGGCACTTGGATACGACAGTGATATAGGCAGTGTCAGAAGCGATGCAGCAGAGAAGAGAAAGTGTCTGTGCCAGCAGATGATGTTTGATGTTCGCCACAGTATTTCTCTAGAGCACTGCTATGTTTAAGCACCTAAGCCAAAAGCATTTTTGCTCCACAGCCCCCAACTACTCTGTAAATACAGCTACAGCACCTTGTGGCTCCAGCAAATGCAAAAAAAAGTAGATTATTTTTTTTTTTTTTTTTTTTTTTTTTAAGATTGAGGCAAGACATCTCTACCGGGAAAACTCACCTCAGTGTAGCTGGCAAGCTCCTGCCTTCCCTGTGCTATTTGTTGCTCAAAGAAAGCTTGAATCCATGAACTAATAGAATACAATTTCTTGATTGATTTTTACGGACAGGATTTTTACAAAACTTTGGGATTTAGGAATTTACTTGTCACTGACTTTCCTCAGGGCGCATAAGCATTGATTCTCTGTGGCTATCTGGAGAGCATCTGAATGCTGTTGCAGCATCCTTCTGAAGATGCTGGCAGTGCTGTATAAACAATCATGAGGCCTTATAGGCAAGGGAGGTAAATGATTCTTTTTTATCAGCTGTGTATCTCGGGGGGGGGGGGAAGGTTGTCTCCATAATGCCTACAGAGTAGATTATAGCAAGGGTCTGGGACTTGCGGTGGCAGGTGCTGCCAACTGAAGAAAGTTTGTTGATATTGCAAAGGGGTGCTGGTGTCAGAGAGTTCATGCCTTACATACGAGTTTCTTGGTCCCTATTTTTGTGTAAAAAATACATGCTTATGCTAAAGTCAATGTAGTTACATAGTTTTTTGGAGAGCAGGAAAGATGTTAAAAGACTATGGCTTTTCCATCTTTCCCCCTCCTTCTCCCTCCCATAGCAAAGCTATTCTCTCCAATCCGGGCTTCTGATTTTTTAATTCATTTCTATAAGGGTTTCCCAATAGAGACCGTTTATTTCTAGCCATGAAAGACTGAGCTTTAGAAGTACTGTTTCCATTTAAAAAACTTGATCTATAAAAATGCTATGTCTGCATGGGCACTGTATGTTAGCACTTCAGGCACATTCCTGTGCTGATTTCTTGTCAAAGATAGTCTTTTCCCTGTATCTTGTTCAAAGAGTCTTTTACTTCTTTTTGAGGCCTGAAGCCAGTACTGTCATAAAATATGATAATGTCTTCAAACTGACAATTACCTGGAGATATTTTTTCTTGGATAAATTTATTTGCCTTTATTTTTCTGTCCTGTGTGCAGAAACAAGGCAGCAGTATAATTCTCATGTGCTTTCTGTTCTGTTTGACCCTGTTTCGTGGAAACCCTTCTTCAGGGATCACAGTCATGCATTTGAATTGGGACACTGTATGATCTTCTCAGCTGTGCTGAAAGGGCAACATAAAAATGACAGAAGCAAGACAAAGTGTAGTGTGAACAAGCTCCAGTAGCTTAGTTGAGAAAAGCTTTGTTCAAGGCATCACATAAATACGACAGAAGATAGTTTTATGCTTTAAAAAATGAAGATAGAATTATGTAGGTAATCTTTGCAACCTAGTAAAAATATCATAGTACACAGAAATTGAAGTGTTACAGCTTTCTGTGATCTAAATTGGCATCTAATCTTAGTCAGTAGGTGAAACAACACTTGAGGATTTTGTTTATAGTCATTGCTTTTTTTTATCACTTAAGAACAAAGTGGTGTTTTGAAAACCTTCATTATGGGAATCAGGCAAATAAGGCAATTCAGGTAATAAGTAAAATCTCTGAAGATCAAGAAAACTCCATGCTTTACATCGTATTTAGAATTGCCTCAGACCTTTTTTTAATGTCCTGGCTCTAAGTCTGAAAACTGCATTAGGGGGAGGAGGGTTATTGAGACCAAAATAATTTTCTCTTTAGAGCCTAAAACTGTATTTTGCCTATTATCCAGGATTTTTGTTTTTTTTTTTTTCAAATGAAGAAGTTGCTGTTCTAGCAAAGGAAATGCTTGACTTAACAGGGATTGCCGTAGCTGTGGAGCAATTTTTTTTTCTCGTCAAGAAAGTGTAAAAGCTTCAGCTTATGTTAATTCTGTGTAACTATAGCTGTCTAAGAATTAAACATCTAACTAGTAATTTAGGGTTTCTTTCTGCAGGGGATAGGGGAAACCAAAGGGAGATTGATCCCACCTCAAATAGGGCTTTCCTCAAGATGGGCTATGTTGAGGAGTACATTTAGTGCCAGTAGCTGGGTGTGCAGTGCAGTGTGAGCTGCAGGTTGTGCCCTGGGTGGGGGGAAATGGTGGGAGCCCCACGTGACCTGGTGTGGACCCTGGAGGTGCCAAAGGTCCCATGCTCTTTGTGATGCAATCAGGGACACAGCAGGAGCCAAGGACTCAGCAGGAAGACACCCTTACAGTATATGGGCACAGTTGTCTGGTGTGTAGGGAGTCAAATGAGGCACTCATCTGAAGTCACTGGAGCTGCCAAGCGTGAAGGGGCTTCAGTCCCAGCAGTGAAAGTCTGGAGTGGTGGGAGTGCAACTGCCAGAGTGGCTCCGGAATGGTCAAACAGGGAATTTTCCTTAACCAGCTGTATTGGAGTTGCTGTTTCTTTTCTTTGGCTGTACAAGGAATGGAGATGTCCCTGTGAGACTGACTGCATCCAACAGTTCAGTGGCTCAATTTGGATAGAGATGTTTGCACGATTTGAATCCCAAGCATAGTCCTTAGAGCAACAACTGACTTTGTTGCAGAGAGTGTACCTTGAGGTTGTGCAGCGTTTGCAACCAGAGATATTTTACTTTGAAGCATGATGCTCAGTTTGTGAGGTTCTCCTGCTGGTAGCTTACATGTATTTAGTGGAGTGTGATGGTAATTGTGTGTAGAAGACCCAGCTTCAGAACCTGCCTCTCCTGTTCGACAAGCAGGGTCTATTTGCAAAGACTTCACAATGTGCTTGGAAGAAGTTCAGTGTGTTTGCTTGGACAGCTAAGTGCTTAGTGCAGTAATGGTGAGGAAGGGTGAATTTTGTCAGCATGGTGTGATAAAACTTGAAGAAAAAATAGAAGGAACATATCTTAAATGAAAAAAGGACTTTTTGAAATAGGAGATTGTGTATGTAAAATCAAAGGTTTTGGAGCTGGGAGTTAACTCATTGGGTTTTGGAGTGTGTTTTTTTTTCCCCTGAACTCACTGAGTAATTCCACTGTTGTTCAAGTTTACAGACCTTTGGGGTTCCAGCTACCATTCCTCCTGGTAGTTTGTCATTCATATGGAAGGTCAGCCATTGTGAGGGAGTGCTTATCTAGCCATTCTACTCTTTTTTGTCAGTGTGGGTATATTGTCACTTCAAGTCTTGTGTCCTGGAGCTGGTTAAAGAGTGCACAAAAGGCCTTGCTGTAAAGACTCCAGCCAATGCAGTAGGGTTTTTTTAGCCTCTACTGTGTGGACTTTTTTCCTTCCATAGTGGTATGGCTTTCCTTTCTTCTCATTCAACTTTTTTTCCTCAAATGAATTTTAAAATGCTAAAACTGGTAGACACATAAAAGCAATAGTCAATCTCATGCAGTTCAATGCTGAGCTGCAGACTTGCTGATTGACTCCGATAAACCAGCTTGTCTATCAGACCTCTTATCTGTCTGTGAAAGGAAGGCAGCTGTCTCCAAGGGGCTTCTTAAGGTAAGTACAGTCAGGATTTCGAGTTCATATTTTGAATACCTGTGGGATGATGGAGAAAGGGGAAGGTTTTGCATGTTCCTATATAACCAGAACATCTAGTGAAAAGCTGTATATAGCCAGTACTGGTTTGTTTTCTTCTCTCCCATTTCAGTACTTTAGCTCGAAGATTCTGAAAACATTTCAGTGACAAATTATAACTTAGAGATGAAAACTCATTTGTTTTGCTTTTTCTGTTAAATTTCAAAGAGCATCAGGATATCACAGGCTACTAAGCTGACAAAAGAAAGATCAGTAGAAGAGTGTGTTTTCTCTGGGCAAATTACTGGACCCAAGACAAAGGCAGCAAAGACTGTCAGAATATGTTATTGTCACAGAACAGAAGAGGAAGACTGGACACCTATCAACTGGTCTTCACAAATGGGTTGCTCTGAAGAATCAAAGTCATTCCAACTAGAGACTGGGATCCTGTTCTAGACCTGGAGTCATAGTGAGAAGGGATTGCTTTTGGGGACCATCATATCATTCTTGCCATGGTAGGTGCTGTCAGTGCAAAATGTCTTGATGGCGGACAGAGAAACCTGATCTTTGCTCTGAAATGACTGACAAATGTGATCTCTTTTCTAAGAGTGTCTTTTTCTTCCCGTGAGATTTTTTGATGGATGAATTGAATTTCCTCCCTTTCCACCCTTGCCTGTGACTGTCCAGGCCAATCACTTGCTCATTCATGTCTCTACAGAGCTAATTCTGCTTCAGCGATGAATTGGTTCTGCTGGACCTGTGCTTGATTACCAGCTCTGTTTACCACAAGGGAGCGGTTATTAATGTGCTCCCGTTTTTAAGCCTATTATAACTCCTTCACTTTGATTAATTTCATTGTGGAGCTCTTTACTCTTTATTACATATAAGATGTAATTCTGATTGTAGAAGTGCTTCTGTTGTTTCCCTCCCAGCTGAAGGAGGAGGCAAAAGGGCTATTGATTTTTATATAAAGATGAGTTTAATGAGACTTGGAGGTTGGGCTTGATCCAAGGCTTACTGGAGTTGGCGGTGATCAGTCATTAGATTTCAGTGGATTTCAGCCTCTGGTATCTGACTTACTGCCATGGTATTCAGCTGCCTGTCTAGTAGGGGTTTTGCAGGTCTTCATAAATTGTTCAAAAGCAACAAACTATCATGGTGAGGGAGGGCAAGGGGAAGCACACTGAGCAGATGCTTAACAGCTTTTTCTTTTGTTCTTGTGATTTGTTGTCTCTTCTTTCTGCACCTTTCAACCTTGAATGTGTAGTCATGGTGCATGTGACAGGGGTTCATAATGAAGCACACAACTCCAGATAATACAGCAGAGATCTGACAACAATTTTTTCTCTCTGGAAGGTTATCTTTAAGTCTGAGTTGTAATTTGGCAGGTATTAATACGTACATCTTTAAAAATTAATATTGTAATCAGAGATAGGAACAGCATTAAAAACACAGGAATGAGCTAGAGATGTAATTCAGAGGTTCCCCTGTGTTAGCAAATGGGCCAGATCTGACCCGGAGGCCAGTCCTGTTCTGTTTTTCTTGCACACCTGTGCACATGTTGATGCTTTGCCTACGAGCTGCTGCCTCTCCCTTTAAGAAGGAAAGATTTCTGTGTCATGCACTAGAAGATGGCCCACTGCACTGCCCCAAGCCAGCTTGTGGCAGGCGTCCCCAAAAGATCAGACCATATTCTCAGCCTTAATTCTCCCTGCAAATGACTGCTGCAGCTCAAGATTAATTTCTCCCCCTCTCCCTCTGCTTTTTCTCTCCTGACTTCTGATTGACTGGTACTCCAGGTCAACCAAATGCCATCAATTTCCCCTGATATAAAAGTGTGTGAACAGTGCATCACTCTTACCTATTCAGCCCTGAGGAGCTTGTTCTGTACAAAGGCAGGCTTTTTCTATGCTTTGTTCCTGCAGATGTCATTTTTCAGGCTTCTTCACTGTACAGTGTTAGGTAATGTATTTTCAGCTGGAACAAGTTGGTGTGCCTGTCCATTAAAGTTAAGAATAAATGTGTTATATCACCACAAGATGCCATTCACAGAAGTGGGGAGAGGAGAAAGTTTTCCATGCATCTGACTTTTAAGGAATGCAGCTATTTCTAAGGGCTTTGTAAAGACAGATTTAATCTGTATGTCTAATATGTAGTAAGCCTAAAGAAAACAGCAAAATGGAGTATCACTTCTTGGAGCTTGTTCTTTTTTTCTTTTGTCAAGTACATAGAAAGAAGATAGATTTTTTTGTTGTTGTTGGTTTTTTTTTGCGAGGGAAGGATCATGAACTGTTGTTTATCTGCTATGTTTACCATTAGCAACGGGGCTGTACAAATAGCAGAGGAACAGAGTTCATATACCTTGTGGATGCTAAATTGAAGTAGGATCTGTATAATAACTATTGTAAAATTCATCTCTTACCTTTGCTTAAAAAGCTGCTGGTCACTCTCAGATGTCTCATTCAGTTTAGTGATGATGAGCATCTATTTAAACTAATAGCTTTAAAACTCTTGACAGAACTAGAGCCTTGTCCTTGAGTCTGTCTTATCTGTAGCTGTAACACCTAGTAAATCCCCTGGGCTCTTTTCTCTGTTGCCATCAGGTGCCACCTGCAATGCCATCAATGGACAATGCAGCTGGCAGGTTTCCCTGATACTTATCTGCCTTTCTGAAGAGGCTGTACCCTGTACCTCAGTTTGGTTCAGCCCTCAGTGTTCTGTAGTTGCACAGATATGTACTGGCTCATTACAGACCTGTTGAATCTGTTTGGGCAGCTTGATGGCTTCAACACACTGACTAGTGTTTGGACTAAACCACAGTGGGAACAGACCTTTTCTGTTGAGAGTAAATTTACTAAGGTGGAAATTTCAAAACCGTTGACCTGAGCTTTTCAGTTTTGTCGTGCAGGATTCCAGTGTGGCGCTACATACCTGATAACTTTGTCTTACCATTTGTTGTTCCCAGTTTACAGGTGCAGCAACTCAGAGTAGAGGTCTAACAGGAGGAGAGGAGTGGTCTACCAAGGTCTGCTTGTGAAATAAACTTCACATGCAACTTGTGACAGTGAGAAAAATGAGGCAGCTTCAAAGTTTTGACCTCCCCAGAGGGTGCAGCATTTATGTTCCCTTGTAATTTTGAGGCTTGCTTTCAGAGTTATGCATTTTTGTGTAGAGGCTGTAAGTACCCTACCTTCTCCTCTCAGAAGTAGAAGGAGGTAAAAAGATTGTAGAACTGAAGAACAGAGAAAAGGGGAGGGGTGAATGCTACCTCAGTATTTTTTCTTTGAGTAGAAGACCCTGAATGAGAGAAGTAGAGGGCACTTGTTGGCACAGAAATTTTGTACACACACTTAGGGATGTATGCAATGGGTTAACATACTGAAGGCCAACACACAGTGTATGTAGAAATAGCTGTGTGCTGGTCATTTGTATGAGGCATGACTCTCATGTAAAGGGCAGCAAACTTGGACATGCATTTGATTTGCTCTGGCTGCTGAGCCTTCGTTGAGAACTTAAGTTGCAATTATCTGTGAGTGAGAGCAGGTAGGAGAAGGCTATAAATGCAGTTGTGGTGTTGAACTGGGGAGGAGAGGA